ACTAACTGGCTTTTTGATCGTAATATAGTTCAAACCGATATGTCCTACTGAGAACCATGTGTATTTCTCTAGCTGACTTACAACGTTACTTTAAAATTAATAGCAGTGACCGTAATACAGCGTTCGCGACCTCGTCCCAATTCACTGCTTCTCATCCCTAATAATAAAAATTTGGAAGGGAATAAGACCGTTTTTGGTGGAGCGCCACCGGATCTCCACACTATGATCATGTTGCAAATTACACTGCAGTAGAGTCCTTGCAAACTCAAACTAGCAAGTCATGACCAGGCAAATACATTGCTTTACATTCTGAACTCCTGCCTTTATAAAAGAGCCACTGTAAAGATGAGTTGCATGATATCACCTGCATAAAACTTGACATTTTAGCCATCTCAATCGATATTTGATGCCACCCAGTAGTTTCTGATTTCTCAATACACCTTCTCAAGTAATAATATTTAAAAGCGCGAATAATTTTGTTCCAATCGCATTTTTTTTCAAGTATTGTACAAATCAAAAACTAGACATCTAGTTTTAAAAATTAAATCAATACTCCAAAAAGACAAAAGCGAAATTTTGGATTAAGCGTGTTAGGAAAATAAAAACAATGCAAAAATCTAAACAGTCGATAAAAAATAAAAAGTTTCAGCTAAAGCAAATAAAAAATGTATTGTAAAGTGGTTTCGTACAGAAAGCTGTATACAGATGTGTAATTCAATAGGATAAGTGGGTGAAAGCAAACTAGCTGAACAACCAACGACCAAGAGTTACCTCTTGCTGTTTTCAACGATTCAAGGTGTTTCTTATTTGCGCTTCCCGTTCTTGTCCTGAAAATAAGCTCAAGCACTTTAAAGTAAGAAAATCTTGCCCAGAAGAGGCAAATTAATGAGAAGCAAAAACAAAAAAAAAACCATGCGCACATCGCGCTAAAGTTAATAGGTTACGACAGTAGAACCTAGTAATATTCTAGCAAGCAAGAAATCAAACGAAATAGAACTTACGAGTGACGTACGTACTGCTGAATAAACGGGTCTACTAACAATGTGGCAGCTGTAGCCCTTTTAACAGGGTCCGGTTCGAAACATCTGTAAAGGTTTTTGGTCTTGCCTCTTTAATATTAAAACTATTTACGTAGAAAACCAATTATTTATAAAATAAGCCAAAAAACTGTAGAAGGTATATTAGTTGCAGAAACAGACCTCCTAATGAATCTCTGGCATCTTTCAGTCAGTTTTTCAGAAATTGGTGGATGGGCCTTGAACATCCCCACTTTAAACATGGCTGCTTGCGGCGAACCCATTTCAACAAATGGCGGACGTCCAGTCGCCATCTCCACCATTGTGCATCCAAAACTCCAGATGTCTGCAGGGGCCCCGTATCCGCGTAATCCGTGGTCAATTACCTTAAAACACAAAAATGTTTCGACGGAATCGTGAAAAAACTTATTTGAGGAAGATAAAATTCCGAAAATACTTCCAGAACAGGTTTTCAAGAAATTACAGCACAAAAAGACTGAGAAATGGTAAATGAAAGTGCATTAAGCAACATATCCGGTCTCACCTCCGGAGCCATGTACTGCAGAGTTCCTGTAAACGTTTCGGTCACTGGATTGAGTCCTGCTAGCCTTTTACACGTCCCAAAGTCAGAAATCTTACAGACACCGCTGTAAGTATTGACCAAAACATTGTCCCCTTTGATGTCTCGGTGCACTATTTTTTGTTCATGCTACAAAAAACCTGTGTACTTTGTCACAAACAAGTCGGCTAAAAACGGTGAGATTAAGAAAAAAAGCTCGAGTCGTTAACAAAAATCAAAGTCAAAAAATAGCGAAAACCATGACAGGCAAAGCTTGCAACAGTGAATTGAAGTCTTAAAAAATAAGCTCACCAAGTAATGTAACCCGTCAAGAATTTGTTTCCCATAAATAGCCATCGCCTGTTCATTGTCAAACAGTGGCCCCCACTTACTACGAAGGAGAGAACTTAGACTGCCTGACAAATAATCATTAGGCTGGCAAGATAATATTTGATACAAAATTCTCATACCTTGGGCTTTTATGAAATAAGTTTGTAATAGTCATAAAATAAATTCATTATTAAGAACATTGCAACAAACCTCCAGGAACTTGCTCCATAAATATCAAGAATACGCTCTTCCCAGATGGCTGCTGATCGACCCGACAACCAAGATACTGAACTATATTTTGATGTGACAAAGTTGAATGGAGCTGTATTTCTTCCATTAATGGCTGCACCTCCTCTTCATTTTTGACTTCAATTTCTTTTACGACTATGGACCTGTACTGTACCCCCTGTTACTACCGAACTGTCGCTATTGCCCATGAGGAAGTGAAAAATTAAATAACAAAACAGCCAAACTGGCTAATTTCATGACCACGCAAATAGTCTAACAATTAAAAATCCCAAAAATGATATTTAACCAACTCCAGAACGTACTACTCGAATGATAAAACTTTCCTCCTCAAAAGGCTTGGAAGAACTATGAAATGATCACTGCGAGTAACACTTGTAATTCTGATTTTGAGGAAAAACAGTTTCTGCATTGCGCTTCATGAACGGCACGGAAGAAAACAAATACCTTTGTGTGGTTATATCTCTTGCTGAATACACAATTCCATAAGTCCCTTGGCCCAGCACAACGCGATTCCCAGACTTATCCAGTTCATATTCAAACTGAAGAGCAAATTTATTTAGCAGATCACATAAAATTGAAGTGATTTCAACGGCAGCTGAACCAAAGTGAAAACACCAACCTCTAAACATTTTGCAGCCTCGCAGTCATTCAGTACCTTCCCCACATTTCCATCTAGATCATTTGTCATTTCAACTATCGCAGACATAACCCTTAAAACTAGCTACTAGTTAGCAATTCACCAACAATGATAAATGATTCAAGCTTACTTCTTGCAGTGTGATGAAGAGGGAAAAATAAGATTGAAATCGTCAGAATTCTCGTGCACATAAAGATACATTGACCGGTCATCACGTTTCGATGCAGACACAGCCTTGATATTTGCTGCTGCGAACTGCCAACGATGTATTCCTAAAATACTTTAACGCCTTGATAAGCAAATGCTATAAAGATACAGGTTGGAAAATATGAAATGTCGGTCGTGTGGCCAAGTTTAAAATGAATGAAATAATTTGTTTACGCTCACAGTTTCAACTTTATCTAGTATGACTGTCACCATTTTAATCGGCGTACATTTCATGTGAAAATTCTGAAGTGATAGGATACAAATATTACAATTTCATTGTGAAATTTTTAGAAACACTTTTGGTGTTTATACACTGTAAACCTTCCTTGGTTTGGGATGAATTGCAGTTATTCGGAGAAGACGAATTCTGCAGCAAAAAGGTTTGGAAACAAGATGGGTAGATTTCTCATTCTTGCGTAACCCAAATATTTTAATTTTCAAAATGCAGTCCCCAAGACAGACGGCCTAAGACCGTTATGCAACTTTACTGTACCTGAGTAATTCCTAGTCTTGCTAAAAATCCTCAGCCTAGCTGAGCATTACTCCCACCCTTAAGAATAGTTACCAGTCGTCTTAGTCGTAGCTAAGTTCAAGATGCTACTTTCAACTACCTCTTTGAAAGATAAAAATTATTTATAACCACCTCCTGGCAAGTGATCGTGCTCTACGAAAAGTTTGTTCTGCACACTATAATAACTTAATTACCATACCAACTCCATATCTCATTGCATACTAAGAATTTACTCAAGACAAAATATCTTATTCTGAAAGTGAGCTGTCAACGTTTTGCAGCGTCGCTTTTTGTTTCATGGTTAGTTAATTGAAAACTATTTTCCACGCACCCATAATTCTCCTCTCAAACAAATATACTTTAGAGTTACTTAATAACGAACACCTAATTCCAGCACTTTTCCAGACGCTCTCTTAAAGTTATCTCCGCCAACTTCGTCAACCAGTCAGAATTTACCCAATCCATAGGCTTAACACGATGTCAATTCCTAAAATTCCATCTCCACTCTGTAACTTCCTGTACCTATAGATAACTTACCCGCTTTTATAGCTCACCTTCACGCAATATTAATCTCTATAGAAAAATCTGTTTTGTGTCTACCACTTCCTCTCACCCGTCCAAGGAAACTTATCGAATAAAGTGTCATTTCAAATAATACAACAAAAAATTTAGAAAGCTCCGAAATGCCGCTATTGAATTTAAAAAACCGACAGAGCACAAAATGAACACTTAAGACAAGTATATGGGGCAGGGCCACAAAAAGCAACAATTGCTACAAAAAACTCGTAAAATTAAGCTGCTTTTGGAATCGATATTTCATATCTCTAACCTGACAATTGCCCCCTTATCAATTCTTTGCTTTACACACGTCTGAAGCAACAAACCTGGTGGAGGCTTCTTCTGCTGGCTGTTTTCTAGAACGTGGCTAAGTAAAATAGTACCTTCTGCCATATTCAGCGTAAGGTAACTAGGCGTATATTCCTTAAAACAAAAAACTAACTGACGGAACGTCACAAAAAGACACGAAGGTCTTTCAAAACGTAAAGAAACAAGTATTAATAGTGAGAACTCTTACTCTGGTTACTTCTTGGATCAAAACTGGAAATCTGGCACACAATATCTCATTCTCCGAATCAATGCTTTCCATAAAAAATTCTGACCAAAATAAAAATTGTTGCTTCTCTTTTTCGACCGGCGACAAAGTAGCAGCACAGCGGTTTATAAGTTTAATATTTTCCATAGTAGATTTGAGAAACCTAGAATTCCCAAATCATTATAAAAGAACACATATTAAGCCGTTCTAACGAAATTAAATAGCAATATCACCGACAACAACTTAACACCAACTAATTACCAGATTGGAGGCTTCAGGATGGCCATTTTCAGAGCAGCCTGACAAGCTTTCAAGTAATCTTCAGCTAGTACGGAAACTTCAAAAAATGTTGCAACATCCCAATAATCAGTCAGATTTGCCAGTGCACCTTTGCGACCAAGTAAGCTATTTAACACAACAGCTAAATAATTGAAATTAGTGGGAGATTCATTTACTCCGAATGCAGTAGATACGGTTAAAAGCTCTTTGCGGGGTCCGAAATAATAAATTAGCCAACCAAACCCTAGCTTACCAATTTGTTGCATTTCATTGTTATTTTCAAATGTTTCCCCTCGAGCTCGAAGTAACGTGGTAAGGTTGATCCCAGAATATTCCAAAGGAGAAACTTCGAAAGCTTGACGGTACCAATCAATCGCTTTATCAAGTGACTCCCGATCTTCATAATTACTGCTAATAAACTTATCTTTGTAAATGCGACCAGCCAAACAGATTACATCAGGAGAAACGTTCGCATGTTCATGGCCTACAATCTGAAGTACCTGATCAAGAGCCTTGTCACGATCACCAGCTTTGTTTCGCCTGTAAAGGTCCTTCACCTTATAAGACCGATTACACAATTACAATCAATAAAAATAAATGTGAAAAAAATTCGAAGTCACCTATTCAATGCGAATGAGTACAGAAACCGGATTATTGGAGCATTGACAATAGAACAGTTTTCAATACGACTCAAGTCGTCCACTAAACTAATCATCGCATCATAGTTTTGGTTATCTCTAGAATTAAGATTTATAATATGAAATGTGATCAAACCAAAGTTTTGAGAGTGCCAACTATTAAATACAGAAATGAATCAATTCCACCACCTAGCTTGTAATAAACCCAAAACAATTTTACCTATAGCTAAGCATATATTGATGAAGGGTGTCAACCGAAAGCACTTCTGGGTCGTCCAAACGATAGCGCATTTTATCCAAAAGTTTATTTGCCTCTTCAAGATCTGGAATCTCCCTAACTTTACGTAAGTCAGACAAGAATTTCTCTCGCGCGTGAGCAAGAGCATCGATCTGGACATTTTTCAATGCCTGTTTCATACGAGTTTGAAACGACATTAAACGGCCATTTTTTAGATGGGCTGGCTGAGAATTCTAAAATGAACGTTCATGTCCTGAACAAAACATAAAAAAAGAACCAAAAACAAAGTGCTTCACCAAATACGCCTAATTACATTCACTGTGAGCTAGTTAACAACCTGTTCGTTACCTTGTCATTAATTTGCATCTGCTCAAAATCGGCCTTGAGTTGCGTTATATTGTCAATTTTTGAGGTCTTGTCGATCGTTACTAAGCAGGACTGATCATTTGAAAAGACGTAAACAATCATTGGGAGGTGTGCTAAAGCCTTCTATAAAAATAAAAAATGAAAAACTTTATTTTTGATAGTACAAAATAACAAATTTTTTTTCAATTGTACGGAAAAAGTTCCAAACAGAAACCTAAAAAACATAAGTCAATTTGAAAAAACAACTCTACATTCAACTGCCCCTCTTAAGTAACAAAAGAACGCGGTCATATTTATAAAGAAAATATCGTTAATAAAAATATCATCAGTCTCCAATCACCGCCTAGAGAAAGATAAAGTTCAAAATTCCGTCATTACAAAAAAAAAAAATGAAAAAAACAAAAGTGGGCAAAAAAAAAATAAACAAAATTTTACCTTTGTGGTATTCACAATAAACTCAGAAGTGCCCTCGGTAAAATGGTTGAGAATAACGTTAAAAGATTGACCCATTGACTCACGAACCCCTATATGATAACACAGGCTCGGAACTTGCTGCTTTAAAGATATGTCCACTAATGCTACATCTGCATTATAAAACACATCCAATGCATTTGTTTCACCAAAATCCAAACGATCAAAATCCAAGCGCTGTAAAAGAACATTTAGAACAGACAAACATTATTTATAATATGTATGGTGATTCTATACAAAGAAAAAAAAAAA